CATCGTCAAAGGAAATTCACAAGGGATGAAAAAAACAATACCTTACTGTTCCTGGATATCCTCATCTGCAGAGGAAACAAGGACAAATGAGAAAAGCATGTTTATTGAACAACAGCCCACACTAACCCAATGTTCTATTATCATAATAATTTTATTAAAGTTTAAAAATACAAAAGTAAAAGAGTAATACAAACTAAAGAAAATATAAAAAGTAAAATGAATAAATAAGTGAAATGTGGAAAAGAAAAAAGGATATATATATAGAGAGAGAGAGAGAGAAAGAAGAAAAAGACATACAAAGGAATAACATATAAAGAAACATCTTCCTCCTTCATTAAGACAAGTGCTAAGGAATTTCTGGAAGCTTGGTATTCAGACAAATCATCTTTTGATATGCATTTACTTATCATTCAAAAGACAGAACAAAAAGTTAAGAAGGAAACAAAAAAGACCACAATGCATCCCTTATAGTAGTCAACACTCAGATAAGCAGGAATTAATACCAGACAAACATTGCTCCCTCAGACCATATCTAGCTCCAGGATTTTTGCCATTAGACAAAGAAAAGCAGCCATACAAAGTAGCAAATACTGAAAAATGGCATCCCCAAAAAGATATTAAAGGACAAAGTTATTTCACATAATCTGCTTTAAATTATCTTGCTACCTCTGATATAGTAAAAGCACAGGGACAACTATCAAACACATCAGCTTTGGGATTTAAAGGAGCACCATCTTATTCTTCACCTGAGACATCCAAATGCTATATGTCAGGCTTGATCAGGATCCATAGGCTGCATGATTGCCATGTTACAGCCTAATTCTCCATAAAATATTTTGTACTATTTATGCAGGTGCCAGAAATACTCAAAATTAAAAATACCTACGGAGAGAATTGTAGAAAGAGATTTGCTTTTCCATATAATACTTTTACATAAGGACTACATGGCAGTCAGTTCTGAATCATTCTGCCTGAATGATATCAACTGATTCTGAGAACTGGGATGGTTTCTATTCTGGTTCTGCTATAGCTTATTTGAAACCAGAGCTAAACTGGTATCCTCTATGAAGTGCTCCAGCTTTGTGAAAGTTGTGGGTGATTCATGCTCCTATTGGTGGGAATTTTAGTCTCAATCCATGATCCAGTTCCTGATCCCTGGAGTCTGTCTGCATTGTTAAAGTGGTATCATGTGGTACATCATCTTGTAAAGGACAGTGCATTGATTCAGCAGTTAAGACATTGGGTTTATCGGCTGAAAAGCCAACAGTCCAGGTTTGAAACCCAAGTGTTGCGTGATGGGCTGAGCGCCCGTCTTCACCTAACTCCTGCCCACCTAATAGTTTGAAAGCATGCAAATGCGAGTAGTTAAATAGGTACCACTTTGATGAGGAGGAAACAGCGCTCTGTGACATCATGACCGTGGAATTGTCTTCGACAGCGCTAGCTCATGGCCTTGAAATGGAGATCAGTGCTGCCCTCAATAGTCAGCAGCAATTAGTAGAGTAAAATTCCCAGGGACTCTTTTCCTTTTCATCATACTGTATGCACATACTCAACTGCCTGTTTGCAAACTTGTTGCTCAATTATAATTTTTAGTTTCTGAAGCTTTAAATGAAGCAAAATGATGGTGGTAAATTGGGCTGAATGTTTCTCTTCTCATGTTCTCCTTCATATAGCTTCCCATCATAGCAACATATGTGGGAGGGGTGGGGGATATTACTATTCATTTCTTTTTCTGTGGATTAGTATAAAGGGTTTTTTATAGCAATAGGATCTGTGATGGCTCAGGGGAAAGGGCATTGACTGAATGGTATTTTTGCATTAAACAGTGGTTAGCTCATGGTATTCTTTCCATATTTTCAGCATTTTGAGGACCTGGGGAATAGAAATGTTGATGGGATGGAAGAGCCTTATAAAGGCCCATAAGAAATTAAGGATAATAAAAAGACTGCTGGTGGATTGCATGGAATCAGTATAAAGCACAGGTGTCAAACTCGCCACGTCACGTGACATGTCGTGACCTATCACGACTCTTTTTGCTTTGCTGGCAATGGGGTGGGCGCAGCTTCAGTATGATGAAACCGGCCCACGGGCCGGCAGTTTGACACCCCTGGTATAAAGATATCAACATTTTGGAATGGGGCCAGGGGTGTGGTCTTTCACAAAGAAGGTTGGAGGGACTGAGAGGAGAGGAAGCAAACTGGACTCATTGGACCAGATGGGAAGAGGTTCAGCCCTGAATGATGAACTAAGGAACTGAATGATGTAGTAAGGAACTGCAAAGGAAAAAAAAAAAAGGAAAGTTGCGGAAATAGCTGTTCCTGTGAGCATTTTTGCAAAGGGGGGGGAGAGGATTACTTAAATACATAGTACTAAGCTTTGGAAATAAGCTGCACATTTAATGAAGTTACTTAGACCCTCTCTGCAGGACACAAGGAGATTTATCTCACTCAGTTCAGTAGCTTACTGTTATTTATAGTTACTCTGTGTGATACTATACCAGTATGGTTATTGGTGTTCTACCACAAGTAGCAGTGGAGTTCTTATCAATTTAGAGGGTGGACATTTATCTTATTAATTCCCCAAAAGGGAGGGGAAACACTCCTCACCCCCCCTCCCCTAGTTAGTTGGAGCAGATTTGTTTAAAGGAAATATTAAAGGAGATGGAACAAATCATGCTTGGGAGATTTCTGAGTTTGGAACTAGAACCGTTATTGCATTAAAATAGGGTTGAACTACACTTCTAAATAACGGAAAATTTAAATGAATACAGGTGGTCCTCAATTTACAAACACCTTTGAGCCCAAAATTTCCATTGTTAAGCAAGGCAATTGTTAAGTGAGTTTTGCCCCATTTTACAACTTTTTTGTCACAATTAAGTGAATCATGCAGTCATTAAGTAAATCTGGCTTCTCCCATTGAATTTTGCTTATCTGAAGCCAGCTGGGAAAGCTAAAAGTGGTGATCACATGATCCCAGGACACTGCAACTGTCATAAAATAGATGCCAGTTGCCAAGCACCTAAATTTTGATCAAGTGATCGTGGGGATGCTGCAATGGTCGTGTGACAAATCGGTCATAAGTCACTTTTTTCAGTGCCACTATAACTTTGAACAGTCACTAAACAAATGTAAGTCAAGGACTACCTGTAATTGTTTATTTTAAAACTAATTGAATGTAATTAATCATTATTGCTTTCCTTTCAACAAACTAAGATTACTCTTTCATCCTCAATATGATTATTCTTCTTCATTACTGAAATACTAGAGATCATTTGTGAATGAACAGAATCAAAATATTGTTGTCCTATATATTAATAAACTTTTATACATTTATGATTTCTAAGATTATGTACATACATAACGCTAAAAGTTGTTTTCTCACAATGCTGTTAAGAAGAATATTCAGAAAACAAATTAAAGGTAAAAAGCAATACATAAAAAACCTACCTGGTCATAACTAGAAAAATAGTGCTATGGGGCTTCCTTTATTCAGCCAGGAAAAAAAATAAATGTAATAATCTCCCAAACTGATTTTAAAATTATTTCTTCCAGTCAAGATTAGTTAATTCTCAGGACCACTATAGCACATAAAATTTCTTGGTTATATGTTTCATGTTTGATGTTGAAGTGTACTCCTTATAGTGGTGTGGTAATTTTATGGGGGGTACTTTTAATAAACATTATACAGAAAACAAAGTAACATTGAAGAAAAATCTAACTCATGCTTTTTCCATCTTGTATGAGAGCATATTTTTTAAAAAATCACACATGTAATCCATATGATTAATTTTATTCATTCATTATTAAATCACTTATGTGGTTGTTGATCTTTTCTGTTTATTTTTCTCTGAAATGATTCAGTCACAGAAATGTCTATTGTCATTCTGGGGTCACATACACAATTGTCTATATGAGCAATGTTCTGGAAAGCCAAAATGGCACAGAAAAAGTAGAAAATCAGAATAAATCATATTCTATAATAGAAAACAGCATAAAACATTTACCCCAAAAATGTGAAACAACAAGAATTTCCAGCCAGCAGAATAGATCAAATGAGGTTTCATATCAGCAACAAAAATACAATAGTCCTTTTTTAATTATTATTCCAATACATTTATCTAATGCCAGTAGGGATGGTGGGTAGAGTTTAGAGTTATCATCATTTAAAGGATTGACAGTCTACAATGGAAGGGCAAAACAGAGATGAAGATGGATTCGGTAGATTTCACCAATGAGTTAGTTGAAGAAAAATATTGTTACTGCCTTGGACACTCTCATAATTTACCATGAACATTCTGAAAGAAGCTCATTTCCTTTTATGAGGATTTAAGAAAATTGCTGAGATATAATATCTTCTCTGTCCTGAGCAATGACACATTTAAACAGAATTGCTGTATTCCTCAATAAGTTGAAATCAATAGCAGCCCTATGTCTTTCCCTTTTTTCCTTTCTTTTCCTTGACATGACAAATTGAAAGTGTGCAGGAGGATTGATTCAATTTGGGGGCTGGATTTTTATCTTTTGGAATTTTCTTAGAGGATTCACTCCTACAAAAAAAAGGTCAAAGGGATGTCAAGACAGAAGTGACCTGGTCAGAATCAGAAAGATGGCTGCACTTGCTTCTCTTTGGTTACTCTTAGTATATCTGCTATAAGAAATAAGGTTATCAGCCTCTACTGGTATTCCAATTTCATCTTGGCATAGATGATATTTTGCCAACTTAATCTCAAAGCAACATGTTGTGCCACAAAGAACAAAATTTTCTATACAGAATTATAAGGGGTGAAATGAACTTGAAAACTTTACCAATTCATGCTTGCTTTATGTATTACTATGCAATTCTTGAGGAATAATATTATAATGATTTATTAATTCCTTCATTAACAAAAAGAACAGATTGTGCAAAACTGGAATTTCTTATTAGACGTGGCTTTTTCCTATGCTATGGCATCCTTCAATTTTGTTGTTGGGTGATCATGTGCTCTTTCCCACAGCCTACTAGAAAGAACGAGAGGTGGCAGGTGTCCAAGTTGAATCAGTTAATCTGGAGAAAGCAGGTTCCAACTGGGTGTCCATGTTGCTGGCAACTGTGCCTGATAAACCAGATGAGGATGTGGCAGGCAACGCAATGCTGCTTCGCAGAAATGGGGAACTGCTGCTTATATCACTTGCCAGGTTAGCAACATTGACAGCATTGTTACTGACAGTCCAGAGGCAAGGATAGTGACTGTAATAAAGAAAAAAAAGCCCAACAACTGAAATTTGCAACTACCTTTATCATTGCGGAATAGATAATCATTTTGTAACTGGAAATTGTATTTCTTTATTCAATGCATTATTTGTCTTGCACAGAAATAGGGCTCTAGAATCATGATTTTATGCAAATATATAGCACCCATTTTTCATTTCTTTCTAACTTAGGGCAAGATTGGGGAGTTTCTTGCAGCTTTAGGTGCTTCAGCCTATTGTGGTGAAACAATTTAGTAAAGCTCTAAGATTCAAGAGAAATTTAAAAAATGTTTTAGGAACCACATGAAGACTTTAACATGATTGTCTGCACTTGGTGTGAAGGAATATAGCATTCAAAACTTAAACTTGTTTCATTTTGGTTTATCCATATTTCTTATTATCTGAGAACTTAACACGAAGCCTCTCTTTGTTGGATTTGAGAATAGATGGTCTGATTGGGCTACAATTTACAGCACAGCTGTATAATAAATCAGTCTTTTCAGTAAAACACTTCTTGCAACAATCAGAGTATATTTTGAATCTAGCCAAACTCCTGGTGACTTCATGGACAGTTACCCTGCAACAGTATGCACATATTTTGCTATCGTCTTCCACAATATTTTTCCCCAATTTCCCAGGTTCTATTTTCTTGTGGTTTTTCATCCAAGTACTAACCCTGTTTTGCTTTTGAGCCCGACCAAGTTTTAAATTGCACCTTCAGAGACAAGCCAGTCCTAAATACTTAGACCAGAGGTCCCCAACCTTTTGGGCACCAAGGATCGGATCCATGGAGAAAGGTTTTTCCACAGACCCGAGGGTACATGTTTTTGTGTGCTGCCTGCATCCCATGGATGGGGCTTTGCTTGTTTGTGCGGACCGGTTGCTGGCATGCCACGGCCTGGTACCAATCCATGGACCAGGGGTTGGGAACCCCTGACTTAGACAGTTCACCTGATATTTATAAGCAAAATATAATCATTCTTTCTAATTAAAGCTGTGTCTTGCCATATAACCATTTTATTGAAGGAGGAAAGGCAGTGTATAGTAAAATCTGACCTATTTTTCATCCTCCATTGTACACAACAAGGGCTACTAGAATTGCTGAGCTATCGCTGTTGGTACAACATATACACTGAAGAGATGCTTGCTTACCTGGGCCCTGGAGCAGTAGTACCACTATTGTGTGGCACTGGGACCAGGTTGTTGTGGTGACTGGAGGGTCCTGTAGGCCAACCTTCATGGCCTGGGGACACCTGGAAATCACTGTTGGCATTTTCTGTCAGATTCACTTTAGAATAGGAAACACAAAGAATTCAGAATGATTGCAAGAGTATGTTTACATTACCAAATCAGGCTGAATATTAAACAAAAAAACAGAAAAAGGCAGAACCTTTAGCTGAATGGACATCCCTTATTTTTTGACTCCATAATTGACAATTACTGTATTTACACAGTGCTTAGCTTACACATTACAACAACCCACCAAGTGTTCTTGTGGCTCATTCTTCCTTAAAGGTAAATCATAAAAAAAAGCTGGTAGCTATCATCCTGTACATTCAATAAGGGCAGAGAAGTAAGTCCATTTTCCTACCTTTACCTCCATGGGCCCAAAAATGGGCTTATACTCACTTCCAATAAAATTCACTCTTCCACTTTTACTATTTTGTTACTATTCTGGTAACTCCTTTTCCAGAGATCCTCAGAGAACAAAGAAGTCTCCAGGACTGGGACAGAAGGAGATGCTGCTCAAAAAGGGTCCTATCAGTGAATTCCTTGCCTTCATGCCTCAGAGGATTTACAACAGAACTATCTAAATTCCTAAGTGCCTTCTGAAAACTAAATGTATTATCAGACAACTGTTCAAATTGGCATTACCTACCTGGACAGATTAATGATGACAAAAAAATAACCAGCCCTTGACAAGGAAGTAGTTCTTATATCCTCCCCATCAGATCATCTATTAACTGCTCAAAATTATAGACATGTTCTAGCATATGCCCTTTTCCTGAGCCCATAATGATGTGACTTGGGACAAACCATGATTGTCATGGTGACCATGAAACCCCAAGCCATCTCCAATCCCCTTCAGCCTCGAAACAGCAGATTAAAATCACCAAATACAATTATTCTTGATGTCCCAATCATCAACTTAGGGATGAAAATGAGAAATTTGGGCATAGATGCCACTGTGCAACTAAGAGGCTGGTACAAGAGAAGCATCCTTAGGTTGTCCCTTTGGCACAACTGCATATAAAGGGCTTCACATGCATACATCTGTGAAACAAACTACTAGTAATTATTAGGATCAATCAATAGACAAGCAGTACTCTTGGGGTCAAGGCTGATGCAGCATGGGAAACTCAGATAGATAAACATTAGTTAGGACCACCCACACATTCTTGCCCACGAAAGTTTCAGTAATACCAGTTTCTTACGGATTGCTTTCAATAAATAAATTAAATGCAAAACATGACAAGAACTTGCCTGGATAATTATTTTTTTGCATGTACGAAGCAGGATATGGAAC